GGAAGCTTCGGTGCGTGCCACCCGGTCTACCCCGGCGGCCGCCCCGCAGAGGCTGCGGTCATTATCGCGAGCGTCCGAGGGCAAGCTGAGGCCCGGGGAGGTGGCTGCAGTAGGCGAAAGTCACCCGCTCTTGGAACATTAACTCCCCTGGTCAGGTTCAGGTCAGGCCAGGGTTTCCGATAGTAATCCGCGGACTGTACTGCGGCAGGAACACAAGAAGTACAAACCAGAGGTGGCCGTTTGCATCGGGGAGTTCAAAGTAACAGTACTTCGGTCCAAGTTCATAGCGGAGGAACCTCTCCCCTCCTTCCAGGGCCCACTCAAGGGCTATTAGGTCCTGACTTCCACCTGTGCCTTTCGGAAACGTCGCCTCTCCGGGGCCCCTTCCTTCACCTGAGGTTTCTGGGCTGCGCTAGCGCAGTTGATTCTTGTTCGGTGTTTGTTCGGTGCTTGTTCGAGAAGTGTGGCCCCAGGCGCAGGATCTGGCCTGGCTGTGGTCTAGACGAGAGCTGTCTGCTGTACAGAGTGTTCTTCTGAAGCAATTAATGCTTATTCCAGCATTGGCTTCCCTGGGCTTCGAGAATATTAAAAGCAACAGCCGAAGTCCTAGGCACACTATTGAACCGAATTAAACCTTGCGATTATCCCGAGAGGTAGACGCTGCTGTTCTCTTTATAGGGATGAAGAGAATAAGGTTCAGAGAAGTCAAGGGACTGGGCCCCTTCACACAGCCTCAGTGAAAGACTCAGGGCTCATTTAGTCGTCACGTTCTGATTACTGGTGTAATCGCTCTTAATAAACTTTTTTATTGGCGTGGTGGAACAGGTGGGGAAGGGAGCACAGGATGTTTGTAGTCGTCTCCTCACCCTCCAGGGACCTTACTTTGGGGAAATAGAGGCCTGGGTGACTAATACATTCCTGCTGGAATCTGCCCTGTTTTGGCCACGTGAGGCCCGAGTGTTTTTATACGTGCTTGAGTCTAGGGGGGAACCTGAGTTTTTTTCCACTCTTCGTGGATGGGAAAGTGGGGTCCTTTAAGAACTTTCCTGGTGCTGCCCACTTTCCCTGACAGACCCTGTGTTCGGATTCCCAGCTCTAGGGGCATTGGTAAGAGCTGGTGAGGTGCATGGGGTGACTGAGTATATTAGTGGTGTCACTTATCAAAGCTAAAGCAATCCTGTACTTGCTGAGTCAAAAAGTTGGAGCTGGTGTGGTGGCTTCTGTCTGTAATCCCAGCACTCTGGAAGGCTGAGGCAGGAGGATCATGAGTTTAAACACAGCTCTGGCAAATTTAGCCAGACCCTGTCTCAAAAAATAAAAAAAGGGTCAGGGATGCAGCTCAGGGCAAAGGCTCCGGGTTCAATCCCCAGTACCAGTAAAAAGAAAAGAAAGAAAGAAAGTTGGTATCCAGCGAGGTTGTACCCCTAAGAAGGTGGAGCTGGAGTCAGATATGTCCTCAGAGTTCCCCATGTCTGTACAAGACAAAGTCATCCGGTTGCTTGGCCTCCTTGAGTCCAGAAAGCTGAGTGGGTCCTGGATGCCTGTGGATTTTAGAGGGAAATGCGGTGCCTTTGACTCCTTGTGCTGCATGCAGCTGTCTGCAGTTCCCCTCAGCTCCTACCACGTTTGCTGATGGATTTCCAGAGCAGGGTTCAGGATCTCCACCTATCCTTTGCTACTTTTACTTTTATTTTTGGTACCAGGGATTGAATTTGGGTCCTTGTGCTTGTGAGGCAGGCGTGGGAACACGGAGCTAAATCCCCAGCTCTGTCCCTTTCTGCTTTTATAGAAGGCCAGTCACTGGGGCCCTGGCCCCCAGCACTTAGGGGAGAGAGCCATCAGCTCCCGTAGCCCTCTTGTGGAGCACCTGCACCGGCCTGCCGCCCCGCTGGGCTCAGGCTCCCAGCTGGCTGGCCATGACCGAGCAGCCAGCAGCACCACCAGGAATCAGGGCGCGTCCTCCACCTCTCAGATGACCGGAGGGCAGGTCATCTGATATCTCCTGCTCTCTGTTTCCTGACCTGTGAAGAACTTTGGTCTCTGACGACCCTTCCAGCCATTATAGGATGTTTATCCATTCAGTTAATATTTATTAAACATTCATTACATGCCAAGCAGCACTGTTACAGGTGTTAGATACAGCAGTCAAGAAAAAAAAAAAAGCTGTGCCTTTTAGGTGAGCAAGGACCCTCCCCCATAATACCTATTGTACATTAAACAATGCATATGTGTATACATGTAAATATATGTATGCCCACAAATATATGCATATATGGACAAATAAGAGTGAGGTGCAGGTTTTGTTCACAGTAGTAGAGGCTGCTGGTTTATTTAGGATGGTAAGGAAGTGCAGTGGTGAGGGAGAATAGAAGGAGCGAGCCACACAGCTTTCAGGAAGAAGCTTGTTGAGAGGGGTTGGAATGGCAAAGATAAAAGGCCAGGGATGAGAGTGTATTGCACAGCACTTACGTACTGGGTGCTGTGCTAAGTGCTTCCTGTTGTTATAAACTGAATCCTGTTGTCACTATTTTTTTCTTTTTCTTTTAAGACTCACTATTCATCCAGCCTGATTTTGAGCTAATGGTGATCCTCCTGACTCAGCTTCCCCAGTACTGGGATTTTAGGTGTGCACCCCCATGCGTGGCTCTGTGTTATCACTATATTATTTGAAGTATGAGGCTGGGAGAGATTAAGTGATTTGTGCAAGGCAAGGTGCTATTTAAATATCAGTCAGTCTTCATGCTGTGTCCTAGTAGAGGGACTCTCCTTTTAGAACTGGAGCTGGTATTTAATTCAGGATCTGGTTCTTTTGGTTTCTTGAGAATTAAGCATCCATAGTGGTGAAGATGACTCCCAGCCCTTGAGTAGCTTGGGCTGACAGAGCACAGGGTCAGAAATTCCTTTTAGTGAGTGGGGGAGGTAATATGTTCAATGCTGGAAAACCTCATGTTGTGTTTATGGCAGAAGGGGGAGAAACACCTTCAGATTAGTGTAAACAAGAGGAATGGGAGAGGAGGTAACCTGAATCCCTCTGCCCACTCCTTTGTTTTAATTTCCCCATGATAGGTGCAACACAGCGTGCTGTATTTTACAGTGATAATTAAAACACTTGGATTAGTGAGCTGAGATTTATAGGGCAAACAGGAGCCAGATGAAAAAACGACAGTCTTTTCTTTTATTTGCAGGCAGACATCCAAATTGCCACTTGCTTACATTTTCTCCCTGACACTGTCACCTACACCGCTTAATTAGATCCCTTTTTTCCCTTTAATTTCCAACCTCCCACTCAGCAGAGTTTGTGAAGCTTTGCACTCAGCTCTGTCCCACAGCCCAGAGAAATGTGAGTCAGAACACAGCAGACACGGGCGAAGCAGTGTCCCTCTCTTCAGGGGGTGGGCTGGCCTGGCCAGCAGCCTCATGGAGCAGGAATGCGGTCTGAATCCCCGGACAAGATGTGTAGGGCCAGCCTTTTGAAGATGGTTTTCCTGTGGGGAAAGGAAGGTAAATTCACCAAACAGCGGGCCACCTTCCTAGCACCTTCCAAAACCAGTACTGGAAAGGTATCTTACGTTCAAAGTATTGCTCTAAATGCTAGCTTTGGGTTGGAGGGACAGACAGAAGTGAATAATGTGCTGTTGGGTTTATAGCCTGGCAGAAGGGATGATCAGAAATGGCTGCAAAAGCTGGATATAATGGTGCATGCCTACAATCCCAGGTCTTGCGAACCTGAGGCAGGAGGATTGTTGTGAATTTGAGATCAGCCTCAGCTACAAAGCAAGACCTTCTCTCAAAAAAACAAACCAAAGCCGTGCGTGGTGGCGCACGCCTGTCATCCCAGCACTTGGGAGGCTGAGGCAGGAGGATCGCTGTGAGTTCAAGACCAGCCTGGGCTACATAGTGAATTCCAGGTCAGTCTCAACTACATAGTGAGACCTTGTCTCAAAAAACAAAAAACAAAACAAAACAAAAAACCAAAAAATGGGTGATGAAAAGTTTTGGCCAAATGGATTTGTTTTGGCCAAAATATTGACCAACCCCTACATGTCGGGCACTGAATATAGCAGGGGCCAAACACTGCTCATGTGGACCAACTTAGCTGGAGAAGGAAGCAGATTTCTTCCTAAACAGCACAGGAACTGATGCAGAAAAATGAAGTGGGGAGGTGGCTGAGGAACGGTGCTGTCGGGAGCCATTCTGTGTGGTTTTGGGGGAAAATCATTTCATCATTAAATCATGATTAGGGCCTGGTTTTCCTGTCTGCAGGTCCCCTGATACTGTGATGCTCCAGGGCAGGACTGCACCAGCTGGAGACCACCTGGGAGGAACCAGATCTTCATCTGCATAGTTCCTCATTGTTCTGGGGTCTTCACTGTGCCCTCTGAGTCAATTGCTCCTTTTGTTTTGCAGGTGTTCTGAATAAAGGTGTGGCAAGCTCCAGGTCTAGGGTTCTTGCTGCCCAGAGCAGAATGGATTGGGCCAAAGATCAGCTTCAAGTCTCATTTTCTGTCCATCGATGAATTCATCTTGTGCTGTCTTACCTGATGCAGAGGTTCTAGTAACGTCCCCTTTCCCTGTTCCCCACATTTGGCACCCAAAGTGGATGTGAATGAAACCCACTGGTGAACTCGCCTGTGAGACAAACTCGGAGTAAAAGAGACGGCACTCGGATCTCCTAGGACGATTTCCAGGCCTGGACGAGGGACAGTGGTGGTAAGTGTGTCCAGCTGGGAGCAACCTTCGGTCTTCACCGAGGTGAAAATGGGGGTCAGTCTCTGTCACGGGATCAGCGTAACTTTGTCAAATTCATTAAGTCACTGTTAAAACATGTTATGTGTCCAATACTGAAGGGTGCTGTGATAAACTTGCTAAAAGACAGAAATATAGATACAGATATAGATATATATCTCCCATCTTTTCCCAAGGAAGGGACGATTAACCGATTAGCATGGGGACAATTTAGAGCCATTCTCCGTGAGGCCCAGTGAAGAGGTGATCATCTTTCCCCTCGAATGGTACCCACTCGGGCCTGAGTCCACTCGGCTCAAACCCAGTCCGGTCAGGAGCCCTCGGCTACTCCTGCCCCACCCGCCCTTCCAGCGTGCTTCCCCCAGTTTGGAGTCTTTCCCCTGTGTGTTTTCTCCTCACCGCAGCTTCTGCTCCACCATCACAGCAGGCTGAGGAGGACCCCACCGCGCTAGTCCCTCAGCCCCCTCAGGTATCTCGCAAAGGTCTAGGTGCTCCGCTTATGAAGCCCACTTCTGGGCCACTCCCTAGCGCCGTGCCCTGCAAAAGGCTGTAACCGTGGGCAAGACGGTTGCAGACCCTTTGTGCTATCCTAGCCCGATTTTTTTTTTTGTGTGTGGGTGTTTTTTTTTTTTTTCCCGGTACCGGGGATTGAACTCGGGTCCTTGCACTTGCAAGGCAGGCCACCGAACCGCTGAGCTAAATCCCCGGCCCTATCCTAGCCCAATTTTGCCTGATCTGACAACCGAGAGATGGACATGTATGTTCACGCCTCATTTCATTTTAACGTCGTAAAGGAGCTCCGGCAGAGTGCGCTGACTAATGGCCTCCAGAGCCCTTACACAGTGGGTTTGCTGGACCCTGTAGTTCAGACTTACTCTCTGGTTCTGCATGATGTTTTTCACCTTGCAAAAGTGTGTCTGTCCCCTGCTCAGTATCTCCATTAACCAGGGAGCAGGCTCGTAAGAATGCTCAGGGAGATGCTCAGTCCAGAGAAGTTGCTACTGATCGGTTATCTGTCATGGTTGACGTTTCAGATGTAAAAAGGCAAGCCTGTTGCTCAGCATTGTTACTCCCTGGCCAGCTAGAGGGCCTCCTGTGGAGGGCTTGAGCTTCTGTGCTAGTTGTTGGATGCAATCTTTTACTCAAATCATGCAAGGGCCTTTGGAAAATTACACAGAATTTGTAGTGAGATTACAACAAACAATTAGAGGGCAGATTTCTAATTCCCAGCCAGCAGACATCCTGATTTTACAGCTAACCTATAAAAATGTGAATATGGATTGCAAACAGGCAATAAATCCTGTTCGCTCCTGTTGATCTTGGAGCATATACTAAGGCTTATCAAAATATTGGGTCTCTGTCACACAATGCGGCTCTAATGACTAAAGCCATGTCCCAATGTATACACGGTGCACGTGATGATTTAAAATGTTTCAATTGTGGGAAAATGGGGCATCTCAGAAAAGACTGTAAAAATGAAAGTGGCTTCACAAGCTGACCAGAAGCCACTGGGTCAGGCTTCCAAAGAAAATAAGTTACCGCCTGGCCCTTGCCCTCACTGCCAAAAAGGCATTTGCAGGACTAAACCCTGCTGCTCCAAACATGATGTGGGTGGTACATTGCTGACAGGAAAACGGCAATCGACCCAGGAAACAATAGACAATCAAGGCCAGGGGACTCCAGTCCCTCTGAGTCAGCGGTACCCTGTTCAGACCCGTGCACAAGGACAAAATCAGGCAGCATGGATGTCTGGGAGGGGCATTTCTTCCCTCGTCAAGGGAACACTCTGGAGTTCAGAAGTAGATCTTCCTGCTGCTCAGAAAGTTCACCTACTGAGAGGTGAGACTCTGGTGTCCATCCCCACAGGAATTTACGGACCCCTGCCACCTGGGACAATTGGTTTGAAACTTGGGAAATTGTCTCTCACTTTGAAAGGAATTACTATGATTGATTGCACCTCAATTGTGTGTTCCTGGTAGCGCTACAAGACTTTGAATAATTGAACAAGGAGATTGTAATGCACAATTGTTGCTCTTGCCTAAACCAAAGTTAGTAATTTTAATTTTAGAAATTCCGGAGAGGGGCAGGGGTTTAGCTCAGTGGTGCTGCCGCCTGCCTTGCAAGCACAAGGACCTGAGTTCGATCCCTGGTATGCACCCCCCCAAATTCCGTAGAGGATCCTCAGCCAGGAATTCCTCCAAAAGAGATTTATTTCACCCAAGAGGTTTCCAAAAATCAGCCCATGTACACATTAAAGTATGAAGCCCCATGGCTTGCTTATGAATAGCCTGATGGTCAGTTGGGACATGTTTGTCCTTACGTAACTCCCATACCTGTACATTTGTGGGGCAGAGATTTATGGAGAATTGTAGTGACTACCTCACCAGTTCAACAGATGATGTCTAAAATGAGATATGAACTGGGAAAAAGATTAGACAAGCAAGTTCAGGGCAGAATGCAGCCTATAGAACAGCAACAGAAAAATAATCATTTTGGATTTGGTTATGACAAAAAATTTTTATTTGGGGCTATTGAAGTTTCTCCAGCCAAGGCAGCTTTGCCTGTACAGCGGAAATCAAATGGCCCCATTTGGGTTGATCAGTGGCCCCCCAAAAGGAGAAACTAATCATTTTAGAGCAATTTACGGCCAGGTGTGATAGCTCACACCTGTAATCCCAGCCCTCAGGAGGCTGAAGCAGGAGGATCGCTGTGAGTTGGAGGCCAGCCTGGGCTACACGTAGTGAGTTCCAGGTCAGTCTCAACTACTTAGTGAGACCCTGTCTTAAAAAAACCAAAAATAAAAAAACAAACAAAAGAAATAGAACAAGTTAACGTAGGGTTCAGAACCAGCCCTGAGCCCCAGGAACACACCTATCTTTGTTATTCCTAAAGGTCAGGCAGATGGCATTTGCTTCAGGACTTCTGGACAAGTAATGTGAGCCTCATTCTGAGGTGGGCACAAGCGGTTTCCCAGAAGCAGCCACTTACAGATTTAAAAGACTGCTTTTTCAACCTACCTTTGTGGCCAACTGACTGACCTCAATTTGCTTTTTTTTTTTTTTTTTGGTATGGGGGATCGAACTCTGGACCTTGTGCTTGTGAGGCAGGGGGCAGCAACACTGAGCTAAATCTCTGGCCCTCGATTTGCCTTTGATTGGATTAGGCCCAAAATAGGGACAGCAACTTTTCAAGTACAGAATTGGTACGATATATTAAAGGGAGATTCTGAGCTTAATTCCCCCTGAAAATTAACTCCAGAGGCAGCACAAAAGGAGTCACTACTAATAGAAAACAAAGCATACAGAACCAACAACTTTGTCATAAAAACTGTAACTATCCGCTTCATTTTTTTGTGCTTAACCCCCATTCACATACAGGTTTAATAGGACAATAGTATGAAAAACAGGTCTTTCCCATGAATGGTTGTTTTTATCTAACCAGTTAGTGAACTCTACAGTTATATCTAGAGCAAATTGCAAAAAAATAGTTTCCCTGGGATGCAATTGTGCTCAATAGTTTTTTGGTGCTGCTGATCCTCATTTCATCATCTTCCAGACTGATAAGGCTCAAATGCAGATGATGCTACAAACTACATAAGTAGCCTTTGCAGATAGATAATTATCATCCTAGTGATCCTCTGTTTTAGTTTTTTTATACGATAATGAGTTTGTTTTTTTTTTTTTTTTTTTTTTTTTGGTACCAGGGATCCAACTCATGTCCTTGTACTTGCAAGGCAGGCGCCAGAACCACTGAGCTAAATCCTCGGCCCTGTACGAAAATGACTTTATTCTCCCCAAGCTTACTCAATTTCAGTGGTTGCAAGTTGCCTCAACCTGTTTCTCCGATGGCTCCTCTAAGGGCCCAGCAGCAATTTGGAGTCTGCCTTTAGCTATGCGTTGCCTACACTGGGCCTCTGCTCAGAAGTCAGAGTTGCTAGCCATTTCATTTGTGACTTAAAAACTTCCCTTCCCAGTCTCTTTAATATTTTAAGTGATGCTTCTTACGCTTTGACTCAAAGACTGGAAGGAGCTATAGTCCACTCTACCTTAGGACCTAAATTATTAAATTTGTTTTTAAGATTACAAAAGACCATACATCAAAAAATTGCTCCTGCTTTAACCTGGGGGAGAGATCTTGCTTGTCTGCCGACAGATAAGGATGAAAACTGTGGCTGCCCTCCTGGAACACGCCCCCGTGGGTCACGCTGATGGAACTGCCAACCCCACTGAGAGCACTGAGCCCTCTACACCTGAGAGACCCACCTCACCAGTGCACCCACGGCAAGGTCCAGGACTGAGATGAGCCCGCAGAAGGATTTACAGGTAGAAAAGTGCTTGCGTTCCTTCTGATTCTAATCATCAGAGATCACAATGGACTTTTAAAAAGTTACTGACCAATTTTACATATAATTATTAATCTAAAAATCATAAAAGGGATATTATAATTCAATTTGGCCAAATATATTTGAGTGTACTCTAGTTTTATAAATTGTCTTATGTGTTTGTTTGTACAACTGTATATTTTTCCTTTTTTTTCCACCTTTTGAAAAAAAAAATTTGTGGGGGCTACCTGGGATCGAACTTGGGACCTTGCACCTGTGGTGAAACAAGTGTGCTAAACCCCTGGCCCTGAAAATTCTTCTTAAAAGATATTCATTCACCTATTATCAAAATTGGCTTACAGATATATGTTACTAAGTTAAAGGCATGCCCTTCTTCCCCCAGGCTACTAGCTCATCAAAGTGACATGAGGATTTATTTTACAAAAGCAATGTGTATTGTCACTTTCTTGCAAATAAGCAAATTGCTATGAACAGTTTCAAAAATAAAAACTATAGGGCTGGGAATTTAGCTCAGTGGTGCTGCCACCTGCCTTGCTGCAAGCACAAGTCCTGAGTTCAATCCCTGGTACCAAAAAAAAAAAAGCAACTATCTTTTTCTTTGATGTTTGTCAAAGTAAATATATAGAGACCCTTGGGTTTGAAGAGACTGTTTATTTGATTTCTTTTCTTTTTTTTTGTTTTGTTTTGTTTTTTGAGACAGGGTCTCACTATGTAGTTGAGACTGACCTGGAACTCACTGTGTAGCCCAGGCTGGTCTCGAACTCACAGCAATCCTTCTGCCTCAGCCTCCTGAGTGCTGGGATTGCAGGTGTGTGCCACCATGCACAGCCTTTTTTTTTATTGGATTTCTTTTTTCTTTTTGAAGAGACTGTTTAGTGGGACTCCCCTTGGTGAATAAAGAAGCAGCTGCTCAGAAAATGATTATTGGGGGGGCAGGGATTTAGCTCAGCGGTTCTGCCACCTGGCTTGCAGGCACAGGGGCTCGGGTTTCATCCCTGTACCCCCCTCAAAAAAGAAAATAATTATTATGGTCTTAATTCACTAAAGGGACCTCCAGTAATTTTCAAACCTTATGAGATACACACACCAACAAACATTGTGTCACATTGGTTATCATTGACATTTAAGCTCTAAATATGTTATAAAATGTTTACATTAGCTAAGCACTAAATATGTTATAAAATGTTTACATTGATTGAGTTCTAAATATGATATTGTGATATGTCTACATTCGTCATCTTCAAAAGATTAATTTCTGTGGCTGAAACAAAAGGATGGTTTATTAGAAATGTGCTTTTGGTACCAAACTACATTGAAGAACATAAGGTTTTATGTAATTGTGATACTACTGCTACTTTTCTGGTGTAGCAAATGTATTCATGCCTTCTAATTGTGTGGGTTTTCCAACATATTGTTTATGGTAACAACCTTTTGATTCAGATATCTGCCTTTCTCTTATGCTCCAGCCATCTATGATAATAGGCACATTTGTAGGCTGATATATTTTCCGTAGGTGACATCCTGTCAAAAATAGCGAGTTATTTGATCCCCGTACCAAAAAAAAAAAATAGTGACTTAGGTAAGAGCCTTTTTCATGTGTTTTTTGGGGGGAGTATGTCTAACAATAGCTATTTTATACTAAGATACACATTTATGTATATTACAAAGATAGTCTTTTGATTGTCCTGCTAAAATATGTGTAGTCCATGATTCAAAACCTTTTTCTGTTAACATACTACAGGGGTTCAGCCACTATAACAAGCATGATTGGCAATCATAACAGCTTCCTAAATATATTTTTACCCAGATGCTTAATAGCCAAGTAAAATTATACAGTGGAGTTCACTACTCTAATTACAGTGTTAATGTTATTGATCTTCCCTACTGGGAGTTCAACAGCTGAAGTTTAGAGACCAGAACTACAAAGGTAACTGGGTACAAAATATTTTAGTCCTGGCCCTTCAAAGTCAACAACTACAACAAAAAAAGACCCAGGACGTGAGGGAACCTCCAAAACATCCTGCATCTTGGTGAGGCACCCAACCTCCTGAACAGGGAGGTTGTTGGACATCAAAACAGTAGGATCCTACAAAAAGTGTGCCGAAGGAATGTCACCTGGAGGAAAAAAATCTCCCATGCTTTCGCAGAAAGCAACATGGTCTAGCAAGGCCATGACATGTCCTGACACTGACACTGACAGGAGCTGAGAGGCTCTCTGTGTGCTTCCAAGACCATGCCTGAGGAGACTTAATTGACCTAATTGGATAGCAACAGGTTAATTTTATTTAATACAGGTCTCACTGTTAGCTTAGTCTTAAACACCCAGTAGAAAAGTATGACTGAAGATAATGTTTATATGAGTTCAACAAGTTTTAAGATTTTTAGCTAAAATTGTTTTTTAAAAAGTAATAAATTTCTAATCTTTTTCAGCCAAAATTAAGAGAAATTAGGAAAAATATTTATCTGACTAACTGGAGGGTCTAGAGTAAATAAATTACATTCACTATTTTGGTCCCTTAAAGAGTTTCTAAACATGCCTCTTTCCCCAAGCTGCCCTTTTTATTTTATTTTTTTTTAATTTATTTTTTTGGTACCAGGGATCGAACTCGTATCCTCGAGCTTGTGAGGCAGGCAGAAGAATCACTGAGCTAAATCTCCGGCGCCCTTTTTTATTTTTAAGTGCTTGTAGCCTGAAAGTTTTTTTCTTTCTGCTTATTCTTGCCTCTAGACTGCTAAACTCCAAGTGATTAAACAGATAGTATCAATGACAAATGTGCTAGACATTTCTTTACCAATATCCAGCAGATATACTGTATAGAGAGGGGTTTTATTGCCTATTTACAACGTGGTTTTCATTTAAGGCCTGTTAAATTAGCTTCCTAGCAGGGGCCCCTGACTGCAGTCTCCCCTACATCAACCCTTCTCAGCTCGAAGCAGTTCCATGAAACCTGCGTCCCTTGTCCCCTAGCCGCAGTTGGGAATAGCTCTTTAAAAAAGCTTATAGACGGTTTAAGCCAGTTAAACACACTGTAGGTCCTCACTATACATAGGGACAAGCCATTTTGGGCATGCTCTCTTTTCCCTAAAAACACACATCAAACAAAAAGAAAGGGAGATACGTTGGGAGCCATGCGGAATGGTTTTGGGGGAAAATCATTTCATAATTAAATCATGTTTAGGGGGCCTAGTTTTCCTGTGCACAGGTCCCTTGATAAGGTGATGCTCCAGGGCAGGATTACCAGCTGGAGACCTCCTGGGAGGAACCAGATCTTCATCTGCATAGTTCCTCATTGTTCTAGGGTCTTCACTGTGCCCTCTGAGTCAGTTGCTCCTTCTGTTTTGCTGGTGTTCTGAATAAAGGTGTGGCAAGCTCCAGGTCAGGCCCGAGCTCAGCTTCTCTAAGTCTCATTTTCTTTTCTGTCTATATATTAATTCACCTTGTGCTGTCATGGCTTGCAGAAGACTAGGTCCTGGTGCAGAGGTTCTAATAACCCCTTTCCCTGTTCCCCACATGGTACAGCTTTAAAATTCAGTGAAGGCAGCACTGTGTAGTGGAGACTAATGTTAGATCTTGACTTTGGCTTTGAAACCTACTAGCTATGTATCCTTTAAGTTTTAAGTGCTTCCAAGGGGTGATGGGGAAACTGAAGGAGTAACTTCGGAAGACTTACCTGTCGCCTTTTTTCCAGTATTTCCGGTCAGACACACACCAAGAAGGTGACTGGAGTGCCCATGGACTCCCACAGGCAGAATTCTGATTGTGCGGATTTAGGTACTGGCTTGGAATGTGGGATACAGGTTGGAGTAGGGAATTGTCAGTATTTTGCATTCAGTTTTCAAAATTCTTTTCCACGTGCTTTGTGTTCATAGAGTCCATGGCGAGCTCAGTGGGAGCCTGGGGCTGCCCACTTAGAACAGCAAAACAGGCACTGGATGTGAGTGCCTGGCCAAGGTCACCTCCCCTCTCCAGAGGAGGCTCCTGCAGGCCTGGCGATGAGTCACGCTGGAGCCCTTGCTCCAGGGTGAAATCACAAAGGAAGGGAGGCTTGGATTGATTGCAGGCCGCGGGGGAGGTTTCCTGTTGTAGACAGATCTCAAGCGGTTACCTCCTCCACCTGAGGAGCCTCACTGTCCCAGGGTCAGGCTCTGGAGTGACCCGGGTGCCCCAGGGCTTGCTTTGGGGTGGAGGAGAGGAGAGCAGAGAGAGCCTTTGGCCTACACAGAGACGCAGTGGGGTGGGGAGGAGAAAAGGAGAGAGTGTCAGATGGGAGCTTGGACTCTGGTCAGGCAGACTTGGGTTTGGCGCTTTTGCCACCACTTCCAACTTACATCACCTCTGAGCCTCGGATTCCTCCTTTGTCAGATGCCCTAACAGCCTAAGCGATACGGTTGTTTGTCGGAAGGAAGATGATGATACGTGTCACTCATTTAGCATAGTTCCTAATGTGTAGAAGCCCTTACAACCTTGCCTGTTATTGGAGAGGAAAAGGGGGGTAACCTGGGGACAGGATCAGGGGAGGCCCTCCCCTCCCCAGTCACTCCTAATCCCTCCCGAGAGGTTTCTGTGCTTGTGGACGTGTGCGTGTGTGTGTGTGCGCGCGCGCACACACTCACATGCACGCAGTGCTGTGGACTCAGCCCAGGGCCTTGCAGTGCTAAGTGTTCCAACTCCAGGCTGCACCTCCAGTCTCGCATGAGGCACTGAACAAGCTCTGTCACCGGGGCTTCTTACTGTCAGCCACATAGGAGATGGGAACTTGGCTTTTAGGAGTTTAATTCAGACTAGCAGAACGGGGCCGGACATCTCCCTGCTCTTGCTTGCCCTCCCTGGCAGTGTGACTCAGGGGGCACCACGGGCCTCGGAGGGGCCCCTTCTACACCCCTTCTCACCCTCACTTTTTCTTTATCTGCCTGAGGCCCACTATGCCTTCCTTCTTTCTGTTTCTTCTATATAATGAAAGTAATGGAGTTTGTGTCCATAATAACTGTCCGGGAACAAATCAAGTCATGTCGAAGTCCTCAGCCTCTGGATGAACAGCTGAACTGCTGTAGCCGGCCTGGGACCCTGGTTCCTGCCCCCGGGAAGGTAGGGCCCACGGGCCACCTGCATGCTTGAGAGGCAGGCTCTGCAGGGGTGGGGAACACCTTGTAGTGGGCAGGCTGTGGGGCTGCTGAGGTGTCTTAAATTCGGACCCGATACGAAAGCTTTTCCAGCGCCTGAGAGTGAGGGCAAAACCGTAATTACAGTGTTTTGAATTTTGAACCTGCCTTTCATCTTCCATCCCAGCTTCCTCACCATTCCCTGCCCTTGTTTTCTGTGGAAGATCTCATTGAGAAAACAGATAACAGGCGCGGCAGAACAGTTGCTTGAACTTGGAGCCAGGGGTGGTGTGGAAGCTCTGCTTTTCTGATTTCCGTGGAAATTGTCTGGAGAGCAGACCTCATCAGCACCTTCCAGCCTGAGTACCAGTGGCGGGGCTGGGGCTTACAGGAAAGTCATTTGCTTCTAGTATATTCTAGGCAAAGCTCTCATTTATGTATTTTTGTTTGTGTATTGTGTTAAGAGGTTTTACTTACACTCTCAACCCCTTTTCCCCATCCCTGTTCCTGAGCTACATCTCTCCGGCCCCTGTAACTTTTTTTTGTGGTTTGGAGTTTGAACCCAGGGCCTTCCCACTGAGCTATACCCCCAGCCCTTTTTCATTTTTTAAAGTTTGAGTCCGCATCTTGCTTTAAGTCCCTAAACTACCCAGGCTGGGCTCAGACTTGCAGTCTCCTGCCTCAGCCTCCCCTAGGCATGCACCATCCCATCCACCGTGTTCCAGTCTTAACGAAATAAAAAGACCATCCGTAATCTTCCTGCCTCTAAAATGACCCTAGCTTCTGCTTGGAATTTATTTCCATCTTTTTCCCTGTTCAGATGCGCATAAGGGAGTGTGCCTGGAGTGTGACACTTTCCCTTTTTGGTAGTACTGAGGATGGAGCCCAGGGCCTCCCTCGAACATTGTAGGCGAGTGCTTCTACCTCTGAGCCCCGTCCCCAGTTCTAGTTTTTGAGATGATCGGTTCTCACTGAATTACTCAGGCTGAGCTTGAACTTGTGATCCCTGCCGCAGTCTCCTGAGTAGCTGGGATTGTAGGCATGTGCCACATGTGTGCTAAATCTTTTACATATTTTTCATTGACTCTTTGCAGTAATCTGAAGAAAGGAATTATCCCCACTGCTTTGATGAATAAACTGAGGCGTTGAAAGGCCGTGTGATAGTTAGTAGAGCTGGGATTCAAATCTAGGAGTGACTTGCCAGCTTAGCGACTGACAGGATTTTGTGTCTTTTTTTCCCCGCTCAGCATTACATTATAGATATTTTCCTGTGTTTCTCTCTAGGCTTTCTAATTATTGTTTGTAACTGCAGGATAGGATTCCCCAAACCATCATTTTGTGTAACCGTTTTCTCCTTGGGTATTTGCACTGTTTTCAGTTTTTCACTGAATGAATTTGTGCTTAAAACTTTTCTTCTATTTCTCCCCCCTCTTCCCACGTGTTGGGTGACTCTTCAGCCCAAGTTCTTGATTCCCCTCCATGGAGAGGTTAAAATGTAGCAGAGCAGTCGGAGGAGTTCAGTGGTTCAGGGCTCAGGCCTTGCAGTAGACCAAACTTGTTTTTTGGTTTGGTCTTGTTTTGTTGTGCCTGGGATCAAACTCAGGACCTTGCGCTTGCCAGGCAGGTGCTGTGTCGCTCAGCTAAATCTCCAGCCCTACAAAACCTGTTTTGAAGTCAGCTCTCTGGGCTGAGGATGCAGCTCAGTGATGAGGGCTTGCCTAGCATACACATCTCCCTGCATTCATCCCTGTCATAAAATACATAAAAAGGGCTTGGGATATAGCTCAGTGTGTAGGCCCTGGGTTTAATTTCTAATACCATAAAAGAAAAATTATGTCTGTAGCGCTTTCTCATATGACCTGAAGTAGGTTCTGTTTTTGAAGCAAAAAATGTATTGGTACATTTTAGATATTTCATAATTATGATAATGTTCGTCATAGAGAATTTGTGCTTTAACATGGTATATCTTATTTCCCGGTCCTCTCCCTTTCCCTGTCTTTATATACAAAAGTTAAGCAGGTTGTTTCACCTTTATCTCAGTTTTCCTTTTCTGTAAATTGGGTATCACAGTGCCATCTCACAGAATGTGGAGTGAAGATTGCATGAGTGACAAATGCAAAGCACTTAGGACTGGCACATGAAGTAGATGTTAGGGCCAGGGGGATATAGCTCAGTGGCACCACACTTGCGTGTACGCACACACACACACACACACACACACACCCGCATATACCAGGCACTTGAAACATCAGATACTTAGAATTTGGGCTCTAGGGTTGCTGGGTTTGATCCACGATGTGTTTAGCTTGGCCCTTATAGTGTTCATTTTTTAAAAATTAAATTGCCAGCATTAAAAAATTAGCAATTCACTTTAGATTGCACACGTCCTGTCTTTAAACACCGGAATGCTTGTCAGCCTTGGACCTATGCCCCTACAGGGTGAGGCGGGCCGGAGCTGAGCAGCCACTGCCCCTTTGGATGTGGCAGAAGCTCCTAGGGCTCTCATCTGAGGTTAGGTCACCGAGGAGCAGGCCCTGAGAAGAGAGCAGAGCCCAGTGAAGGAGTGGAGCAGAGGGAGAGACAAAGCAAAAGTGCAATTTCCTGGGTGCGGTTTTGGAAACTGGAATCAAAGCTGGCAGGGAAAGGGGGCCATTGGCTAAGGTCTGCTGAGCTGCTGCTGTTGCTGCTGGTAAAGGAAACTGGCACCAGAGTTGTGGGCTGTTGGAAACAGCACAGTGAAGCTCAGCTGGCAGAAGGTGAGCATCTGACAGTGTCTGTCTGTTTCTTTCCCTTACTCCTACGATAAGCGCAGGAGTTGGCAGCCCCTGAACTGCGTGGTCTTGATTGCAGCCATGTAAATTGGGCTGTGTAACAGTGGCAGTGGCTCTCTGGTCAGGCGAGGGTAGCAGGGAAGAAGTACCTCTGGAGGTGGACAGGAGAGGTTTTCATCCCCCTTTTACAGATGAAAATGGAGGTCAGGAGGCCTGCCAGGGCTTGACTGACAAGGCAAGGGGAAGAACGGAGCCTTGGCATTCTGTCCCCTTGTCTGTCACCCTAAGGTGTTCCTCTGCTTGGTCTCCTTTGGACCTTTCTCTTCCTCTATGTGGTTGCCCCAATCCGCCTTCTTGGGCAGAGGCAGATTAAATAATACAGCTCTTGGAGGTACATTAACCCCTCAGTGAGGAACTAGAAAGGCAGGGTGTTCGTTGTGAAAAATCATAACTTGTTTACTGCAAACGTCTAGGTGGAAGGTAGCCATTTGGCTTGTGGGCCTTGGGGGGAGGCAGTGGCTACAGTGCCCTACATCTCCGTTGGCCTCATTGCCCACGGGGTGCAGCGACATCTTTGGATCCACAGCAGCAGTCACTGCACATTATTTGTGTACCGTGCAGAGACCCATGTCCCTCAATAGGGTACTTGTCAAAAACATCCGGTTCTTAGGATGATGAGACAGTTTGAAAAGAAAAAAGCACCCCAGAAACTGTCAGCTCTGCAGCTTATCAATATAAAATGAAGATTAAAATTTATTTATGTGGATAGACCATTTTCAAGGGGAGAGGGGTTTTAAAAAATTCATATACCTTTGCTAATGGAACTACTTCCATATTCACAGTGAAAAATAAAAAAAGGCTCCTAAAACCTTTTCTGGAACAACCAGAAAAGGAAGGATATTGGAAATAAAAA